AATCATTCTAAAGCCTAGAGCATCTAACCAAAATGAACAACCTACATTAATTGGGCAAAAAAAAACATTTTGTATGCTGTGATTTCAAATGTTGTTTTTTTTTTTGTTGTGATTATTTGTTGGAATGAAAAGAATGTATATTTAAAAACAGGGGTCAAACAAATAGCCATAACATGATTTTTTTATCATCGTTTCATTATATTCCTATACAAAAAAACTGGTGTTTCTAGACTTAGCTAGATTCACTCGGAATCAGACAAGTTACTCTGCTCCGGCCTAGGGGCTGATTCCTCTCGCAGTCATTTGGCATAAACTTTTCTCTATGAGAGTTAGAAAAAGTGGAGAGTTAGGAAAAAATAGTACCCCCTTCTAGACTTATGTAAGAAAACGGTGCAGTTGGCATACAGATGCATCCGTAGCTATAGAGGTAAGGTGCACCTTCAAATTATATCATTGTATATAATTTTGATGTAAAATGTTCTTAGGATTATCTCAAAATCTATTTTTATGTCTAATTATAAAATTTTAAATTTAAAAAATGGTTAAAATCAAGTAGACTTATAAACATATGAAAATCTTGAAAATGGACAGTATAGATAATATCTTAAAAAATACACTATTTCTAAGACTTAAAATCTTTTCATTTTTCATGGTCCTACATCTCGATATCGGGATGATCAATCAAAGGGTTTTTCAACATTAAAACTACCTTTTTTGAATTTTTGAGGTGCATCCGTAGTTCTACATTATAAGGTTGCATCCTTATATAAACTTTTTTCTATAAGAAAAATAGTATCCCCTCTTCTAAAATTTATATATATATATATATATAGGAAAAAGCTAACAATAGCTGGCCAGCTATAATGAATAATACTATAGATGGAATGCGAGCCATCAGATCTTCATTATACGGTTCAAAATGCATATTACTGTTTTAATTTTAATTATTTTTCTATAAATCGAATCATAATGAAATTTTGTACATGTGTACTAAAAAATAGGGTGCACAAATAAAAAATATTTCTCAAAATATAAAATGAACGAAATACCCTTGAAAAATGACGGGGGTATTTTGTTTATTTTAAATTATTGAAAATAATTATTTTATATATTTATATGGCGTGAAATAGTGTTAGGTATATAAACCCAAAATTTCATCAGATTTATATAAAAAAACTTAAAATTTAAATACTGATATGCACTTTGAACCACATGATGAAAATCTGACGGCTTCTATTCCACCTATGTAATATTCATTATAGCTGCCTAGCTGTTGTAAGGTTATATATGTACTATTCAACCCAATGCTCTATATATTTATAGAAAAAAAAAAGAAAAGAGAGAGAGAGGGGGTTGGTGAGAGAGAGCAAGGCAGAAAGGAAGTGTCCACTCCCTCTTTGTGGGGATTGAGGGGGACAAACCGATTTAAAGAGGAGAAGGAATGGATTCTTTTAGATGGTCTCCTTTTGTTTGGGGGGCAAACTATCCAACTTGAGAGATGAAGCTCTCAATTAATTTTTTATGTGACCTTATTTTTCGAATCATTCTTTCTTTTTTAGATCCAAAAGAGAATTGGGAGCTTTCTTTTTTTTAGTGGAAGCGTGGGATCGGAACCCACAATTTAGGGAACTCCAAAAACACTCCATGTTCGTTTATTTATTTCTTATAGCTATCGGCAGGCAAGATTTCTTTTTGAAAGACCATTATGATGTGATTTGGCAACGGGTCGGGCCATTCTTCGCCCTAGACATCCTTAAGTTCTATAGGGCTGGGCCAGGCCAAAACAAGAAAGATAAATAAATAAAAAGGGACCGGGCCAGGCCTAAGATAGCCATCGCTATCACGCCCTAGCATAGGCACTCTCCTCAAGCGGGGGTGGCCTGGCCATGGCCATGGCCAGGCCCTCGTGTCAATTTTTTGGGACAAGCATTTAGAATTTTAGAGCCGGGACACCCTTGCGTCAAACCGGGATATAACCTGATTATATATAGGTATGGTTTACATAAAATCACAATCTTAAACAATCAAATTAAAGCATACCTCCAAACTTTGTTATAAAATACAATTTTGGTACTGAAAATTCTTCTAATGGCTCGAGAATGCATTTTCATCGCCAATTATAAATTTTAAACTTCAAAAATGGTTCAAATCCAACAGATCTATAAACACATGATATTAAAAATGAACAGTCTAAATAATACATTGAAATATGTAATGTTTTTGGGACTTAAATCGATCTTCTCCTCCATATATATATATTTTGATGTTTAGATGATCAGTTAGATATCTTTTCAACATTAGAACAACCTCTTTTCAAGGATTTTACAAGTGCACCTTAAAGTATAAAGAATGAGAAGCATCTTACTTAGAGGGCGCGTTTAGACACACCAAGGAAGTGTAGTTTTGTCTATAAAAGTTAAAATCGAGAAGTAAGGCAAAACATTCTTTTTTTCTTGGGGGAAACTTTAATCATGTTTTGCGCCATTTTTCAAGTCAAAAGGTCCAGAACCAGAAGTCCAGCCAACCAAACATGTTCCAAATGTGTTTTATGACTAGTGCATTGAAAAAGAAAAAATTAAGTTAATCATGATTAATGGTCTGTTCAATGATCTAACCCTCATATGGAATGTTTACAAATGACAATAATAGAAACTATATCATAGGTACCTGAACCATACCCAAATTTTATAATAAAATACAGATACTCTACCTACCCTTCCCATATGTATTAATTGCAAGATATACTTTCTATATTAACTCGATACATAACATACACTTTCCTTTCACAGTTGCACCTTTAAACAATCAAATTAAGGCGTACCACCAAATTTGATCATAAATATAACTTTAGTGTCAAACATTATTAAGATGGCTTGAGAATCTATTTTCTTCTCTAATTATAAAATCTTAAACTCCAAAAATGGTTCAAATCCAATAGATCTATGAACGATGCAAAATCTTGAAAATTGATGCTATAGATGATGTGTTGTAAGATACACTATTTTTAGGACTTGGAATCTTTTTTTCTTTTCATATTCATACATCTTGATGTCAAGATGATCAATTAGAGGGTTTTCTAACATCAAAACGGGCATTTTATGATATATTTTTTGGGTGCACTTTAATTCTACATTTTAGGCTTGCAACCTTATATAAACTTTTTCCTTCGAAAAATAATTCTACATTTTAGGGTTGCAACCTTATATGAACTTTTTTTCTTAGAAAAATAGAATGCTCATCTTCATCAATATTCAAGATGTGGGTGTACATTAGGTGGTCAAGCCAAGCACCAACAAAATGGTTGAGCCCCAAATATTGACTCTGAACATCGACAATACATCCGAGGAGTTTTTGAATTGTTTACAAAGATGACCTGAAAATTCAAAATTTCAGATAAAAAATCTCCCTAGACCATCTAACTATAATGTTTTTTGTTGAAATTTTGTCCCCACAAAAATCATATATATGGGCAACATGGCTGTGAGTTCTCTTCGAAGCCTCACCCTCTAAAGCTTTTCACCTATGACTTAGAAGAAAATGTTGAGACCACTTTTACCTAATGCTTATAGGCAAAATGGCAAACGTAACTGGGTATATTCTTATTTCTTGAAGGAAAAAAAACCAAAAAAAAAGGAAATGTTTAGTATCTCTTCAAAGGCAAAAAGTTTATATAAGGTTGCAACCTGAAATTGTAGAAAAAAAAAAAATTGTTTTGATGGGAAAAAGACCCTTTAATTGATTATCGCGACCTTGAGATGTGTGGATGTGAAGAAAATAAGATTTTAACATAGCAAAAAAAGTTCATTTTGTAATACATTATCTAGACCGTCGATTACCAAATTTTTCATGTATTTATAGATCTACTTGATCTATACGATTTTTTTAGTTTTAAATTTCATAATTAGATGTAAAGTAGTTTTTTAGGTCAATATTAAAAATTCTAACGCCAAAACCGCATCCGTCGATGACCTTTTAAACGTGCACCTTAACTGGATTGTTTAAGGTTGACACCTTGTATAAACCACACCCTTCTCATCACTATTGTGATGAAGTGAATCCAAACTCATACTCAACCAATGTACTCAGACATTATTTCATAATTCTTTTAATGAATTGTTCGAGTCTGAGACGAGTTTGGCTGTGTCGAACTTTCGGACTTGGGGTAGAGACCCTGGTGAGTCCTTGCTATAAACTAAAGAAAAAGTTTATATAGAACCGAGGCTCTAAACAATCAAATTAGGGCCCACCTCAAAATTTTCACTAGAAAAGGTTGTCTTGATTATCAAATATCCTCAAATTGATTATCTCGACATCAAGATGCATGGACATGAAAAATAAATAAATTTCAAGTTTTGGAAATTGATTATCTCGACATCAAGATGCATGGACATGAAAAATAAATAAATTTCAAGTTTTGGAAATAGTGCATCTTGCATCGTTTTTTTTTACCGTCAATTTTCAAGATCTTCAAGTTTTTATAGATATGCTCGATTTACACTATTTTGAAGCTATAAATTTTATAATTGAGGATGAAAATATATTTTAAGGCTATCACAAAGATTTCCATTATTGAAACTAAATTTCTCGATATTATTTGACTGTGCGCTTTATTTTGATTGTGTAGAGCCTCGGCTCTATACAAACCGCACCCAAAGGTGTTATAGATATAGGCAATGTACATCACGGGTCACCAACCGTCCATTCCCTGTGTTGGACGATAGTGAATAACATGTATCTCTACAATTGTTCCATCCTTAATCATCCTTCATTGAGAATAGGTCAGACAGTGGATGCTCCTATATTACTTGGATTTGGAGATTTTTGGCTTTTTTAATCTGTATGGAGGTTGAGCTTTGCTGTAGCTGAACTTGGGTTTGGCCCAAGGGCTTTTCTTTTGCTAAGCAAGAAGGAAAGAAAAAAAAAAAAAAGAAGAAAATTTATAGATATATCGCGGGTAGCATTGTATATGATACACCACAGAGCATCCACCATCCGCGACGCGACAGAAAGGGAAGATTAATTGAAGCAACTGGGGGACATTTATCCAGGAATGGCCAATCTCCACCATCATCATCTAAAATGGACAATGATAAGCCCTTTGGACTGATACATCATAAACCAGTGTTGTATGTAAACATTAAGCTACCTTAAAAAGAAAAGAAAAGAGAGAATATGGGTACAATTACCCTCAACCGTCAGATGTCAACTGCAATAGCTCGGAAGGTATCACAAAATTTAAGAAATTTTGTCTTTGAACCATGATCATGGTTAATGAAGCACACTCTACCCCACCCCGTCCTACGATTTCAAATTAATTGATACGAATGATTGTTGTAACCTCTTTTGTACTTACGAAAATAATGAATAAGTATATTAAACCTTTAAATGCGTGACTTTACTAATAAATGAAAAACGTTAAAGAGTAGTAGTAGAATATGCATGTTAACAGTAAAACAGTAAAAACAATAAAAATAAGCTGGAAAATGGAAGATAGGGCGATGTAAAGAACACCGTGAATGCAATATAAATTTGAAAACTTGAATCCTCGTCGTTGTATTATAGATTTTTAATTGAAACCTAGATCAAGATGAAGAGCAACCAATATCAAAATAATAGGGAATTTGAAGAAACATAGTAAGTAAAAACAATAGTAAAAGGGGAGGAGTATGGGAAACAGAATCTAGCCCAAGCAAAAAATGAGGCTATATTTTCTCAAACTCAATCATGGTCACCTGCACAAATCACACGTGTAAGAATAGTAATCCACATTCAAATCACCACCCACAATCGCGATGGACGGCCCAGATCTCCTGGCTCGGTCTCGTCTCCAAATCCAGACCGTTCCTTCAAATCAACAAAAGCAAAAGGGTAAAAACGTATGCGGGTCCCGCACCCACCAGTCAGCGTACCAATGCCCTTTGAGCATTGCACGAGTGTAACCCTTGAGAGTCCCACTCATGATTAGCTGTCAAACAATTCACTCACACTTGTGATCATCTTGGACACGCGTGTGAATGGTCCGTACGAGTCGGTAGCCGCCTACTCGGACCGGTCTTGACCAGTGGGCTCGTGTCCGCGGCTCTGTGGCGGAGGGTCGGGGTCTGGACCGTGGTGCCTAGCGGGTGCATAGGAATTGAGGGCTTGGAGCACCTCGCCGGAGCCGATAGGTAGAGCCACAGGTCCGGGAAAGTTCATGAAATGCAGCCCTCCTCCTGCTCGATACAGCGTACCAGGGCCGGACGGATAGGTCCATGTGGGCTCAGTCTGCATGAGCCCACTATGACCCACCTGGCTTGATGCCTGGCTCGCAAGCATCCAGAATGTCGCGGGAAGCTGTCCTGAGCCAGCACTGACAGTGGGAGCCTGTAACGCATAACCTCCTATCGAGGATTGCTCGGATAAGTCGGCCCGCCTCTTCTTCGAGTCCGTTTCATCGATATCGGAGTCATGGAACGCCGGCTTCGAGAATAACTGCTGTGCGCTCAACCCCAAATGCGAAGAGTTAGTCGCAGTCTGCTGCGACAAATTTGGAATGCTGCTTCCGAGCATGAGTCTGCGGCTCGGGTCATGATCCCATGGCTCGGGCCGAGCAATCAGCTGTTGTGTTATGGAGGGGTGGAAATACGAGGATTTCAGCACTGGCGCCGCCAAGGAAGCGGCGGAGCTCCGTAGAGATATATTGAGACTGGAGAAGTTTGCAGGAATCGTTCCAGTCCCCGTTGCTGCGATCACCGCAGGCTCCGCCTGCTGCAGCAACCACTCAATTGTCTCGCCGTCCGATTTGTGCCCTAGTTCTCGAGTAAGCTGAAAGACCCTCGCTGCGCATGTAGCCGGCATGCGGATCCGGCGTCCTCTCCCTTCGACCTTGGTGTGTCTATCCTTGTTTGATGCCCGTTTTGCCGGCGGTTTCTTCACAGTTTCCTGCGATTCCGACTGGCTCGCAGCAACCGAGGTCGAGACCTCACCCGAGAAGTAGCCCGAATTTTGCCCGGACCTGCCGGAAAAGAACCCAGAAACTTGACCTGTATCATCTTCTTTTCTTTCGAGGAGTTGTAAGGGGAAGTTGGGGCGCCTGTTATTTCCATCTTCAGAGGTTTCCATAGTCGGAAAAGCTCAACTCCGGTTAACCTCGCCGGACTCCGGCCACATCTCCGGCCAGGAAATGGGGTGAGAGAGAGAACAGAAACTCGGCAAAAGCTTTAAGCAACAAAAACAATGAGTGGGAATTATATGCGGCCTTCAAAAGCAATAAATATATAGAAATTTTCTCTCTCCTTCTACACTTCAACAAATTTTCTCTCCTTTTTTCTATTTCGACTTCTTCTTTGTATGTGAAAAAAGTAAAATGTCGGAATAGTGCCTGAACCACCTCCAAAACTAGATCAGGTGGTCCATCAATCTAGAAATTGGGGCAGTGCATGTACGGTCACTTTTCCCCTGGATAACAAATTTTCCCAGCATCTCGTCATAAATAGAGGGCCCGTTAGTGGAATGCAATCAAATGGAGGGGGTAAGTAAGAGATTTATTTGAGAAAAACAGTAACGATTTTAAATAAGAGATTTATTTGAGAAAAACACTAACGATTTTAAAAAAGGCCGAATCAAGTCGAGGGTCCGATAAGATCAGGACCCAGGCGATTTTGGTTTGAGGACATCCAAAATCGTCTCGGTTCTCCAGCTTTCAGCTTTTAATTTTAAAAAAATATATATATGAATTATTTACTTTTAATACAAAGTCGCAATCATGATTGAAGTTGGATGCTATTGGGCGGGTTAGGGAGTCCAATTCACCTCGTTCAAAGTCTAAATGAAATTTTTTTGACTTTTACAATACCCCATGTTATTAGATTTTTCTAGAGTGAGTGCGATGTCTTTATACCAAAAATAAATGATGCTATAGTATACGATCCTTTTTGTTTACCTTTATTTTTTTGCAAAATAGATTCGATCAAAATCGGGAATCAAGTATACGAGGGGGTGGATCGGAAAGAATCCCCGGAGCTCTTTCCACATTTTTTTGGAATCCTAAGTTTATTGAGAACTGAAGTGAATTTTCCTGAAAATTTTGATATTACTTTTATAATTAAATTTCCTTTTTTTCCTTTTTCTGTGGAGTGGCTCAGACTCCACGTGCGGTGCTCTTTTATCATTCAATCCGTAAAGACAGTGGTGGCCAGAGGTGACCCCTTTTTCACCAAGTCAAAAATATTAAACGAAAAAAGAGAGAATATAAATAAGGAAAATTTGAGAAAAAAAGAAAATTAAATGGGCCATCCTCTCTTGTATAATCATTGCCTTTTTAGTTAACTATGGTTAGTTTTGAACCACACCATGTGGTTTGTCCAACTAAGACCTAACCCCTTGGCCGACACTTACCGTTGCCTCTCAGTTGTCCTTTGTACATCGAAATAAATTCAAGAATCAATGGCAAGAGATAAGGTCGGATATGCCCCTACAAATTTCCTCATTTCTCAGTATACATATTTATGGGATAATTATTTTTTTTTTGGGGGTGAGGTTTGTATAAGGTTGGTGCCTTAAACAATCGAAATAAGGGGCACTGCAAATGATACCGTTGTTTTAGTTTCTGAAATTCTTGTGTGGTCTGCAAATCTATTTTCATCTATAGTTACGAAATAGTTAAAAAATAGTGTAGTTGGCAAAATTTAGAATGCTTGAAAATATGGATGGTCCATATAATACATTACAAGATGCACTATTTTAAAGATTTGAGATTCTCTTTTTTATATCCATCAATGTCGAGATCAAGATGATCAATTATATGATTTTTGGGCATCATAACAACATTTCTTTCCCCGTGAGCGGCATATTTCTATAATATAAAGTTGACATCTGATATAAACCTTCTCTCCATTTTTTCCAATCATTATTTATTTATTTATGAATATTGAATTTGCGTTACATTATCTTGAGTAATAATCCAAAGTATATGGATTTCTCCTTAGTTTTGTGGAAATTTTGCAAGAAATGTAGCATGAAATATATACAACTTTTGTGCAACCATGTTTAAATCAATTTAGTATCTATTAAAATGAAAAAACTTCAAAAACCAGGGTAAATAACTAAAAGAATATAGAGTATCAATGGCTAAGTAATTTTTTACCACCAAATTGCTTCAATTCTGTATACAAAAGGGTTACACTCAATTTTTGTGCAATCTTTACTTGTAATCCATTATTGTATTTAGGGAAATGAAATACTCCTAAGGATCACAATAAATAGCTAAAATAATATAGAATATTTATAGCTAAGCAGTATTTTAACACCAGTTTTATGCAATTATTCATGCAAAGGATTGCACAATCGCTTGCCAGGCCTATGAGTTTATTTTTTTTCTTGTTGTTTTCAATCAATAAAAAAGGTGGGATTAGAACACTTGACATCATGTAATTTCACTACCACGATCACCGCCAATTTTTGTGAAATTTAGCAATTATTTCCACCTTGAAATTTGCACAACCATCTATGTTTACACCCACATATTCTATATTGAGTGTTTTTTTTTTTTTGCTTTAATTGCAAATTTCAAATCAAATGCAACAAAAAATTTCTCTATTTCTCCTAGAAGTAGAGAATTTTGTAACAAGGTATCTGGAGTGGTTATTTTCAAGATTTTCAAATGTTTATAAATGTACTCATATATGTATAGTTTTTAGATTTTTAAAGTTCATAATTTGAGTTGAACATGAATTTTCAAACAATCAAAGGTTTATGAGACCAGAACTGCATGTTCCAACCAACAAAATTTAGAGATATGTACAGTATATGATGGGCACCTTATAAAAACCTCACCTTTTAATTTAAAGGACGCATAAGATAGAGCTTTGACAGGCCATAATACCACAGCCCATACCTGGCCCCTTAAGCTAACGGGCCTTAAATTCAAGCCCTATAAAGCCCGAACCTGGCCTTTAAGGCCTGCGGGGGCCCATATGCATACTATGGTTTTGAGTATATAAATATTCAAAATCAGATTATTTACCTATTTATCTAGAGTTTATATATACTCAGCCAACACTCACTTTAATTGATATTTTAAAGCATACATCATGGGATTTTTCAATCTCTGTTTTCCTATCTATTTCATCCATGGAAAAATGTTATGTTTTGCTTAAAACCATACCAATCATGAGATTTTTATTTTAATGAATTTTTTAAAGTAACTTTTTCCGAAAGTAAATTGATATATATTTCCATCAATTCTAAAGTAACTCTAAAGTATGATATACTTTGGAGGATTGATATATCTTGACTTCTCAAATATTCCATCTGCTTTTGATTGTTAGTCATGCAAAGGTGAATGGTGCACTTTTGCCTTTTTCAAAGCAACTGGCAAATAATTGCTTTTTGAGATTACCTACAAGATATCCAAGTTAGAATCAACCCATCCTCCAAATGTAAATATATTTAATTTAAAATAATGGAAAATCATATTACATGATAAAAAGAACTGCAAAAAGGTGACTTCTCTTATTTTATACATGTAAATGTACATAATTTAAGAACGTAAGAACTAAGAAGTGCATGCTAAGGCATGTAGTAGTATCGATATAAGTACACATTCGTAGGTAGACATGTAAAAGTATGTACGTGTGCAAGCATATTATCAAGATGAGAATGGATTGCCCGGTCCAAATTGTTTGAGAAGCAACTAGTTTGGGTCCAAACTAAAAGCTAGGTTTCATTGAAAATCAGTTAAAATTAATATTTAATTAGTTTTGGCCAATTGAACATATTGATTTTTATAGATCGGACTAGTAAAACATAAGTGGGGCATTTTTTCAATATATTTTATATTTTTAAGTTATTATTCTTATTTCTTATTTATTTTAAACGTCTTTTAATTGAATCAGTTTTGAATGAACTGGATGTCTGACTAGGTTGGTAGTCGGTCCAACCTTAATAACATTGCCTAAAGGTTATCATACATTCACTCCCTCAAAAAACCCTATTTACGAGTACTTTTAGTAGCCTAAATGTTGGCCATGTAACTTCTTAAACTCAGCCAAAAAATTCATTGGCACTCATTATATGCCATAAAATAATAGCATCTTGACATTGAAGAAAGACCGTTGCGCCTCTCTCTACTCTCTTCCCAAACAATCGAGATCGAATTACTGGTGATGGATCCGCCTATAGTACTATTCCCCGGGCAAACCTAAGCCACGACATTCAAGGGAGAAACCTCAAATTCCCTTTTTTGCTTTTGGGTGCGGTAACCTTAAATAATCTAATTAAGTTACACCTCCAAATTTTGTCCTGAATGCAATTCTAGTTTAAAAAATTATTAGGAAGGCATGACAATCTATTTTTATTTGTAAATATAAATGTTTAAATTTCAAAAATGTTACAAATCAAGCATATCTATAAACGCATGAAACATATACAATCTAAATATTATATTTTAATATATACTATTTTTATTACTTGAAATCTCTATTTTTTTCCATATTATACATCTCCATGTGGACATGAACAATTAGATATTTTTCCAACTTTAAAACAACATTTTTTGTTGGATTTTACAAGTGAACTTTAATTCTACATTTTAAGGTGTGAACCTTACATAAACTTTTTGCTTCTTTTATTTAAAAATTTCTCAATCGGTGATTATGATGTGGATCCCAAAATCTAAGATAAACGAAGTCCTTCCAAGTAAGTTTTTTATTTTCGTGAGGGACTACAAATATTGTATGCACCCTGAGGAACATGCCAGACATGAACTTTGAAATATCACATGTGGCCCCCTTCTGTTATGCAGCTTTAATTATCATAGACTCCCTTTGACAAATTGAACTGGAATTTTCAGACCTCCACAAACGAATGTTGGGTCAGAAGCCCCTTTAAATCTCAGAGATAAATGGGACCAGAAAAACCATTAAGGTATCTTTAACCCCCTTTCAGGACATATATTTTGCTTTGGCTTTCCAACTTTCTTCTTTATGGGTATGGTGGGATTAGAACCATAGACCGTAGTGCTGATCGTCCTTGTGTCGGACCCCAAATTCCTAACTTTTCTTGGGTGGGGAATGCTTTTACATTTGAGTTATTTTACCTTGTCAAAACTAGAGAGAAGAGAGAGAGAGAGAGAGAGAGGAGAGGTATGCGTTCACCCGGGTTGGGGCTGCATCTGGCCCAGTTTTAAACAATGGCATGAGCCACAAAATGTGACCCAAGGGTTGGGCAACCAGCCAGGCTGGTTGGGGCCTAGGCCTAGGGGCGGCAATGGACCAGATCAGACCCTCGGGACCTGACAAGTGGAACCCCTGAAAGGTCGGGTCAGGGTGAAAAACCTGGACCCAAATACTATTAGGGTCTGGGTTCAAGTCTGAGTCCAGCCACACCTAACCCGAATAATACGAGTGTATGTGGGTATTCATAAATGTTGCTAATATGTTTGCTTCTTGGGAATTTCTAGTTATTACGT